TCTCCCCAAAACCCCAAAACCCCAAAACCCCATAGAGAGATTAAAAATGGAATATTAATTTAGCAAAGTGTCATGGTTTTCGAAAATTTTAGGATTCTGAACCATTCCTCCCTCCATGATAGAATCAGGAGACCAGTCCTCATAAGTCATCTTTTTGTACCTCTCGAAAGGAATAGCTATGAGGATGACTGGATCTAGAGCGTTAAGAATGCCAGTGACTTCTGGTAACTGGTCTGGATATCTATGCTCTTCTTGTCTATGGAAGAGTAAACTTCCATCATACTTTTTCAATGATTTCTTTCAATTGTTTATCAATGAAGCCAAGTTTAAGTCTTTGTTCTTCAAGCAATCTGCTTGGATAGACATGAATAGATAATTGTCCATAGAATATTTATGCTCTTCCTCTAATTCGCTGAGGACTGATTGGAGTCCTATCTTGTACTGGGGAAATTTTCCCAGATTTTCATCTAAGTCGAAACTGTGAAGAAGAATCTCCTCAGAAAGCTTAGATTTCTTTATAATTATGTACAGCAATGTGTATAAGATTCTTTCAAGCAACTTCCAAGGGTGAATATCATCAAGACTCTGTTGATGATAAGGAATCTTTAAGGAATGGTATCTAATAGACCCTGAAATAGCAGTCTTCAGATTAACTTTCCTCAGCTTGATAGTGTATCTTAATCCTTCTTGCAATAAGAAATTCATCTGGTTGATACAAGTTTCTTCTTTGTTCTTCAGGTTCCCTATTTCTTTAGATTCCTCTTTGATCTCGCTATCAGAGACTTCAAAGTAGAGGATGCACATTTTAAACTTGATGAACTCTTGAATACTCTTGACTCGGTTTGAAACATTGTTTTTATTTACTTATCTGGGTTATTTTATGCATTGTCCAGTCTCATAGTTTCCTAGTAACGCTTTCACCTTTTCTAAAGAATATTAAAAGAGGAGTACTCTATAGTCTTGTTACTGTCATTCAGGAGTATTTTACTCTGACTGCATCCGTGTTGGTTATCTGAGTTCATCTCTTTACTGGGAAGCTTTTGAAGAGTGAGATTCCCATCAAGGTCTTCTTCAATATTATACAATGATTTTAACACTTCAGAGACTTGGTTGAGGTTGGCTAGATTGTAATTAGAGGACTTGATTTATAATGGGGAATAAAATAAGTGGTTATAGATATTTCAGAGATGAGTTTGAGTCCAGTTTGAGGAGAAGAAATTATTTTAAACAACTTTCGGTGGGAGGATTCTTTATGAATAAAAATTATGAAGAATTAGTGAAATTCATAAGATTAATCTTTATTCAGTAAAAAAGACTACAGAGAATGAGCTATTGTGATTTGAATTCTAATGAAGCAAATTTGAGGGTGATACATATTCTCCTCCTTAATTATATAATAATAAAGATGTATAATTATGAAAAAGTTTCTTTTGATAATCAATCACTTGAATGCTTTGATATTTCGATCAAAATAGTTTTTGAACATAAAAATATAACTCATCCTATCAAAATTCTCTAATTACAGACTAATTCAGGCTAAGCATTAATATAAACTCTCTAAATTCAAATTCTCTCAGTATCTCACTCAACAAAATTCCCCAAAAATTCCACCAATAGCAACCCCAAAACCCACTCAAACACCTCATAACCCCCCAAAACCCCCCATTTCCACTCCTCCACTCCTAAAACTCACCTTTCTTACCAACCCTCTCACTCCTCAATCTGCCCTTCTCCATTTTCCTTCTGTTCAAAATCCAAAATCACCCTGCTATCATCAAAAATCCTGCTAGCACAGATCTATACTCAACATTAAAATACTTGTCCTTCAGTTGCTATTTTTGTGAAGACATAGAAAAATTCATTTTTGGGACTTTAAATTTTTGATTTGGGATTTCTTGGATTTTAGATTTTGAAGGTGGTGAAGGGGGGATTGGGGAAGTGGGGAGGTGAAGAAGGGGTGTGAGAGGGTCTTGGAGAAGGAGGTTGGGACTTACGTTAGGTTGTACACAAGACTCATAGCCATTTCTATAATTTCCATCATCTGTCCCAAATATTATTTCAATTTTGTATTAAAAGAATGGGGTTTTGGGGTTTTGGGGTTTTGGGGTTTTGGGGTTTTGGGG